TCATTGGCGGACAACAACCGCACTGACATCGGTTGCTTAGCCTTACGTTGCCCTTCCAAAGATAATCAGGAAGGCGTTGCGTAACATTATGCATGCTGATGCACTTTCTTGCTGTAGAGGGTCCTTCCCATAATTCTGACCTACAAAAGAAAAACCGAGTAATTTTTATCTAGATATGTGTCCTCTTTGCTTTTTATAAGAATTAACGGGGGAAAAAAAAGTTAGCTTTGATTTGCAGGAAACTTTATTGGGAAGCTGGGTACCAACACAGCTGGCCGGCCCGCATCCATTCTGTGCAATGAAATTTGCTGTTCTGGACAATTATTCTCTTTTATCCTTATATAAATTTATATATAATATATGTATAATTTTGTATGACTAATGTATAATGTATGTATATGGACTAGAAAAAGTAAGTATATATTGAATCTTGCTTACCACATGCGAAACCGTTTCTTTTAAACGATAAAAGAATAACGGACGTGCTTTATCAAATAGGCAGCTACCATCTGTTAACTTTGTGGTTTAAATCAAAAATTTATTAGTGGATCACCTGACAAACTTTAACTTAAAGAAATCAAGAGGGACACAGCGAAAAAGAACCAAAAACAAAGAAAGGCATTATTAATGCCGTATTATTCCTTGGTTGATGAAACTTCCCAGCCACATATAGAAAAAAAAAAAAAAGATTAATGTATTAACTAGCAGTATGGGAATTTGTTGACCTTCCCATGCCGATGTGTAATATATTTTTGTAATTTACAACGCACACTAACGTATATTTTTCTTTTTCAATTAATAGTGAGCCAATTGCCGGCGGTGAAATTTAGCTACCGGAAACCGGTACTTGACCTAGTATTACCGGCTTAATTTTATTCCTCCATAACTCTCTATACAAAGCAGCATCTCCATATGTTCTTTCAACTTCCACAACTGTCAAACGATCTGTTAAACTGTAAACATCAAGAGACATGCTGAATTTACCATTTTGCACTTTGATCTCCATTCCCCATTCTTTCTTCCTCTTCACTTTAATATTATTATTCTCCTTCTTTGCCAACTCCTCCACTCTCTCCATTATTTTCTCCGGTATCCCTTCGACCACTGCCTTTTCTGAATTTTCCATCGGATTACCTGACTCGTTGAATAATCCCGAAAGGTTCAATCCCGACGAAAATGAAATTAAATCGAACGCGTTCATTGATGTTTTCTTAATATCATCATCATCTTCCAGCTGCTCCTTGGCCTCATTTGCAATATCCTCGTGGAAAAATTTAGTACGTTTAAGACTTTTTCTGAACCAGGGATCTTTAATGATTTCATCAATTGAAATTCTTTTCATTGGATTAGTATCTAAAAGACGAGATAAAAACCGTTTGAGATCGGTTGACATCCATTTAGGACATCGAAACTCGCCTTTGTAAATCTTTTTGTACATGACCATTAGGTTTGGATCGTTGAATGGAAGGTAACCAGCGTTTAACACGAAGAGAATGATCCCACATGACCAAATATCCACTTTTTCTCCATCATATCCTTTTTTTGTTAGAATCTCTGGTGCTACGTATGCTGGCGTTCCACAAAGCGTGTATAAAAGTCCATTTTGTTGTACTTGGTCCGTCAAAGCACTGAGCCCAAAATCAGACACTTTGAGATCCCCATTTTCGTCAACAAGGAGATTTTCTGGTTTCAAATCACGATGGTACACCCCACGAGAATGACAATATCGTACGGCTGATATGAGTTGCTGGAAATATTTGCGGCTCAGATCTTCGCTGAACCGACCCAGCTTGGAAATTTTGCTGAATAATTCACCTCCTTTGACAAACTCCATGATGAAATAGATCTTTGTTTTTGTCGCAAGAACTTCGAAGAGTTTGACTATTTGGGGGTGACTTAATCGACGCATAATAGATATTTCACGTTTGACGTTTGTCATCAAAGTCGGATTGGCAATTCTCTTCTTGTTGATAACTTTGACTGCAACGCTTTGGCCATTTCTAATGTCTCTAGCGTGGTACACTTTGGCAAATGCACCACAGCCAAGTAACTTTCCGAGCTCATATTTACCAAATAGGCAATTCTCTGAAGGGGCCATGGCCCTGGAAAATTGTTCGATTTCAGGCATCGGTCTAGAGCGATCGATGCCTTGCAATCGAACAGGATAGTTTGTGATTTGATTTGTGATAGAATAACAAGTAAAAGGAGCGATAAGCTCGAAATTGGGAAATGCGAAGGGGTTGCCTATTTATTTGTAGATGTTGTGAAAATGCTTGAATAAGAAAGTTGTAATCCTACGACTTTAGCGGCTTTGTTGGTTTTATATATAGGGGTCTTTTGTTTTTAACATCTTTTTCTTTGTTAAATAAGTAACTAACTAATTACAGAATAATTTGCCTCCACACAAGTCGTTCCTTCTCTCTTTCTTCTCTCCTTTCCTACTAGTGGATGAGAATTTTTTAGTTTTTTCAATTTATTTTTAGGTCAACCAACTGGAAAGTTCTAATTTGCTATTGTTTAAACGTGTCAACCGCTTATTTCATCCATATATAATTCTGAGCGAAAATGTTCCTCGTATTTAATTTGTTTTCTCTTTTTCCTTTTTTTCACTCGGGGAATAATTAGTTGCTTTTATTTGATTGTATTACGACCCAAAGTTTCAGTCACGAGATCGTGATGGCGCCTAACATCTTCTTGCTAGGCAAGCCAACATGTCATGACCCGAAATCCCAATCACGGGATCGTAATGGCGCCTAACATCAGCTTGCTAGTCAAGCCAATTCTAATTAATCACTTAATCAATTTTTCACAATTTAAAAGCAAATGATTAAGAATACAAGCCTGAAATACTCATAACATATTCATCTAAAACCATCACAGTCACATTGTCTAGTCCACATTCAGAAACTGGTGTCATAAGTACATGACCTGCTAAAAATGCTACAAACAAGGTCCAAAATAAAATACAATTGTCCGAATGAAATAAAAAGTATCAAAGATAAGAAGGGGACTTCAGGGCCTGCAAACGTTGTGCAGCTCTCCGTCACGTTTTCGGATAAATGACATTCCGAGCAAGCCTCCACTAAACACTGCTGGGACAAACACCAAAATCTGTACAAGAGGTGCAAAAGTGTAGTATGAATACAACCGACTCCATATCCTCCGTAAGTACCGAGTCTAACCTCGACGAAGTAGTGACGATGCTATAACTAGGCACTCACTATAAACTTGTACGAGTACAATAAAAAATAATAGCAGAATAGAGAAACAACGATTAACATGAAAACCAGAACAAAAATATATAACAGAGGGCCCCAAAATATCATATATGCTCAAATTCACAATACAACTCGAATACGAAACCAACAGTCAAGATCAGTTATAATATAACTTCTCTGTTATGGCGCACAACCCGATCCATACATATACATATACCAATACCGTTGCGGCGTGCAACCCGATCCCATATAAAATATCAATACTGTTGTGGCGTGCAACCCGATCCCAAATATCATATCACTGTTCCCAAACATCATTTTAATATTCATTGCGATGTGCAACCCGATCCCCCTATATATATATATATATAGGGGGATCGGGTTGCACATCGCAATGAATATTAAAATGATGTTTGGGAACAGTGATATGATATTTGGGATCGGGTTGCACGCCACAACAGTATTGATATTTTATATGGGATCGGGTTGCACGCCGCAACGGTATTGGTATATGTATATGTATGGATCGGGTTGTGCGCCATAACAGAGAAGTTATATTATAACTGATCTTGACTGTTGGTTTCGTATTCGAGTTGTNGAGGCTTGTAGACATATCATGTCAGTTAGTACGATATGTTGGCTTTGTAGGACTTGTATGTAAATTCTTTTGGTTTGTCAGCTGTAGTAATTATGATGGTCTTGCCGGCCCATCTTTGTATAGATGTTCAGTTTGAGCTAATCTCCGTTCAATTTTATATTTTATTTCAGAAATTGTCCTATGTTGTGGCCTTGCCAGCCAAAGTACCATATTGTATGTTCAGAGCCCCTTAGTCTCAGGTTGGCACGCTCGGTCAAGTGACGCGCCAGTTGTCAGTCTCGTCTCCCCAGGTTTGGGACATGACATTAATGAGCATAATGACAAAATAATCCAGATAAGGCAGGAACACACTATTTATCAAATGCATGAAAGCTGCTAGGGCATTAGTCAAACCAAAAGACATCACAAAAAACTCATAATGGCAATAACGAGTACTAAAACATGTCTTAGGGATGTCTGAAGACCTAATCTTCTACTGGTGATACCCCCACGTCAAGTCAATCTTTGAGAACACCTTAGATCCCTGAAGCTTATCAAATAAATCATTAATGCATGACCGTAGATATTTGTTCTTGATGGTAACCATGTTCAACTGACTATAGTCACTACACATTCTCATTGACCTATCCTTCTTCTTTACAAACAACATCGGTGCACTCCAAGATGATACACTAGACCTGATGAACCCCTTATCTTGCAACTCTTGTAGTTTCTCCTTCAATTCCTTCAACTTAGTAGGAGCCATGAGATACAGTGAAATAGAGATAGGTTGAGTACCTGGTGCCAAATCAATACCGAAATCAATATCCCTATCGGGTGGCATGCCCGTTAGGTCTGCAGGAAACACATATGGATACTTTCTCACTACTATAACTGATTCAATAGTAGGAGTATCAGCACTGACATCTTTTACAAAAGCTAGATACGCCAAAAATCTCTTCTCAACCATCCATTGAGCCTTTAAAAATGAGATCACTCTGCTAGGAGTGCAGCCAAGAGAACTATTCCATTCCAACCTCGGCAAGCACAGCATAGCCAATGTCATAGTCTTAGAATGACAATGAAGAATAGCATGGTATAGAGGCAAATAATCCATAACTAAGATCACATCAAAGTCTACCATATATAATAATAAAAAGTCTGCACTCATCTCAAAATCACATATAGTGACCACACAAGACTGACAAACTTGATCCACCATAATAGAATCCCCAACCGGTGTAGATACATGAACATGGGTAGCAAGAGAATCACCTAACATATCTAGAAAAGAAACAAAGTATGATGATATACATGAATAAGTATAGCTCGGATAGAACAATACCGAAATATCTCTGTGGCACAAAAAATAGTACATGTAATAACATCATCATAAGCGACAACCTCGATCCTCCCTGGAAATGCATAGCATCTAGCCTAACCTCCAATAGACTGAGCTCTCCCTCTAGAACTGCCACGTCATGGATGACCTCCACCCGTGCTGGCTGAGCGGGTAGTGTAGTAATCGACACAAGAATCATAGTCTGACCTCTCTATGCTCAAATTAGGGATAACCAAATCAGCACGACAGAGAATGAATGAAAGAGAACTTTTCCTAACAGCCATATAACCTCTCAAAGATAAGTGCTGATCCGCATGACTTTACTTAACTTGCTCATGACTCGTGATACCTAGACAACTTAGTGCTCTGATACCAACTTGTCACAATCCAAAATCCCATTAAGATCGTGATGACAGCTAACACCGCTTTCTTGGAAAACCAACATCCAATATGACGATAATAACATCATGATAATGGCAAAATGAAAAACAACTCAAGTAACATCAGGTTCAACATTATCACATTAAGAGAACAAATCATCATGCTTTTCAAGTACATCAACCAAGGCATTAATTTTTTCACATAAATCACCTAAACATGGATTTATCAAATTAAACTGCGATCCCAAGCTCTAAACATCAATAGAGACATCATGTACCAATTAACATGAGGAAAATATAATAAGATGCCTACATGACAAGTATACATACTAAAATCAACAACATCACAATTTAATCATCAAGTATAAAAATCTCAGCACATTCAAAGTGCTTGGAACAAGTACCCCTCAATTATACTCTCAGCACACTCATGCTGCCTGGAAAAACTCCCATGAATCCTCATATGCACGCACACATACTCAACACTGTACGGGTGTCGGGCATAATCCCCTCACTAAGCACATATCAACTGCATGCGCTCACAAGATTATTATATGAATCCATGTCATGCCCCAAACCTAGGGAGGCGTGGCTGGCACCTAGTGCCCTAGCTTGAGCGAACCACTCTGTAACTCATAATCGTTTAACAAAAACTAGAACATACATAGGCCGACTTGGTAGAACTCATTCTTTATGTAACTATCATAGGTCAACATGGCCACAACTTGTATTGTATAAGTATAACTGAGAAAACGTTATATCAATGAGCCAACATACATAAAATATAAATACACACGGGCCGTCAAGGCCTCTAACATACTGTACATAATGAACCTATGTTTATAAAGCCTCTAAGAGTATTTGACATCGAAACATTGTCGGGACAGGTCCCTAGCCTACCCATAAGTCTGTAGCAAAACTCTAACATGATAACTTATAGACTCGGCTACATTCCCAATGAAGTGGAGTCTTACTGATCCTTCGTTGAACGCTAACCTCATCTACTATGAGGGTTCGTCAAGCTGATTACCTAAACCTACAGGCATAAAAGGCAGCATCCACAATAAAAAGAACTTTGGTACGAATAATGTATTGAGTATGTAAGGCAGAACTAAAATATAACAATAAGTCAACATCAATTAGAGAGATATAAGAATCAACCCGAACCTCTGAAGTGCCACTAAGGGACATGATATGCATACTAATTATACTTATATATTTGATGCCTATTTTTGGGACTATTATCCATATCATAACATGATTGCCCAACTGATCTGGGGTAAGTGCTCAATCGGCCATAGCGCGGTGCTAAATACATGACTGCATGATCGGTCATAGCTCGATGGTAAATGCGTAACTGCCCAACAACCCATAGATCAGTGGTAAATGCATGACTGCCCAATCGGTTATACCTCGGTGGTAAATAAAGATGCATAACTTTGCCTAACCGGTCGTAGCTCGGTGGTAAATTAAGATGCACATAACATTACATTATGAACATTAGCATCTTTATTGTATGCCTCAATAGAGACTTAGGAACATACTTAGACATGCTTTGAGTTACATTTTATAGGAATGAATAACGTAGACATCCTTAATGTCACGACTCAACTCCTATCGGAGCTGCGACGGCGCCTAACACTACTTGCTAGGCAACACAACAGCCACTTAATAGCTATGAACTCAAATGAACATATTTTAATAACTAAACAACGTAAAATATCATAAAATAATTAATGAAAATAGCTAGAATACTACTGCCACCATTCCAATGATTTGGTGTCAACGAGTACAT